AATCACGGAAACTCATGAAACTTTATAGCGGAATCCATGAAAAGAGCAGCTTTGTGTTTGATTAGGTGGTGGAAGAGATCACAGCCAACACACGTCTGTTTCACAAGACCACGCCCAAAGGCATGTTCGTGAACAGGCTCCAAGGACACTTCGTTCAATGCGCGCACCAAGGTGGAAGTTTCGAAGCCAAACGGTTCATCATGGTCACTAGGGGAGTCGATGAGGACGAAGCTTACGTATGTGACCCCCAGTACAATCAGCAGCACTACATGATGTGGTGTGTATTTAGTTCGGGGGTTGTTCGGGACGAGGGCTTAGCTCTTTCGTTGCATGTAGGACCGAGGTGCGGCAGATATCGCCAACACACATCTTGCTGCGATTTGTCAGCCATGTGTCGCAGATATTTCAACCTGCCACCGGGTTTGTGAGTGTGGACGAGCAGGCGACGTTGAAGGGCGTCGATGTGATGGACGTCGACGACGGCCTCAAGGATGAGTACGTGCGACGCGAACTGATCCGACGGAGGCATGCGGAGCTCGTACCTTGGCGACAACATTTAATGGAGAGGATGCGCCAGAACGTGACAAATTGTTAATAACAGTTCAATTATTGATTTGTGTTCGGAATTCGTACGAGGTGTTTTTGGGCAAAATACGCTTTAACCAATTATGTTATATAATACTTCGAAGTATCATTTGATTGGTTATAATCACTCGTTATCGACTACAGTTTTTGGCTATGCCGTAGAAGCTCCTACTCCGTTCTACAAAAACAGTCAGGTAGAATTTCACTTGATTAAAGTTTGCACTGGGCAATTGAAACGACTTGCTTTTTGTATGCCACTCCAAAACACCATAACCCGCACCAAAAATTTTATTGTATTTTTTTAATGTCTCGTTCAAGAGACTTGACCATGGCATCGAGGTGAACCTCCTCACCAAGTCGGCTATTCAAATGAGCCAAAGCGCTCTCGTAGGACGAGGCGTCAAACTCAACATTATACGATGCAAAGTCTGCAATGAGAGCGTCCTTCTTCATGTGAGGAAGCTTACACTCGTTGCTGTCATGTATTTCAATGGACAGTCCCATAACTTTTTGAAGGGTTACGAAAGTCTTTGCAAGCGTGTCAGTCGACAACTCATAGAACGCATTTTCTACAGCAACAATAAGCTCCTCGATGGTTCGAGTGCACTTTTGGTACTGTAGGCTTTGAATAGAATTCAAGAATCCTAAATCTAACACGTTGAAATCGGAACTGTTCGGGGCTTGGTTAGCCACTCCAATACCACAAACTCCATGTGCACAAAGCTTTTCAGTCGTTACATTTCTGTGCGGGCTTGCATTGTCTTGTTGGATCAACACATTACCCCGTCTGCCACATCTAGAAAACTTTTTCTGGATGGCGGGGACAACCATATTTAATATTGTATTGAAATAGAGTGGTGCGTCGACGGATTATGGTGTGGTGACCATGGCGCCCTTCGGTCTGTTCTTGCTTCCACGCTGCGCTGGGGCCACTTGAACGAAGGACCAAACACCAACCTTGCCGTCCCATTCCTTCTTGCCGTGTGGGTCATATCGCAGCCTGGCCACAGCGGCAAAGAACATCAACTTAGTGATAAAGCCCTTGGACTTTACCACCAGAGCCGCGACCTCTTCGTACGCTTACACATAGTACCTACGTTCTACCTTCGTCAAGTAGAACCACTTTTCGTCAACGTGCACAGAGTCGTGCTTGCTGTTGAAAAGATGGCATCCATCTGGCAAAGGCCGAACAAATAGCATGGCAAATTTTAGTCGTTCTTCGATGTTCGCAAGGGTTAGATGGGGCTTAGTTTGACCGCGCCTTCAAGCGAGGATTCTTCTTCATGTGGCTAAAGATCGTCGTAATGAGGATTCCACACGCGGTCGACAGAGAGTGCAAGGTCTGCCGTTGCATTTGTGGCACATTTTGGATGGCAGGTTCAATTTCGTCGCTTGTTCGGAGCGCATGACGTCCAGAGTTCCCTTGAAAAGTGCAACCTCATAGATCAACAATTGCATAAACTTATAAAAATATCTGGTTTTTGAGGCGGCACAGTTAGGCGTCGCAGAGCGAGAGACGCGCTTGCGTACACAGACGTGATATCGTTCGCGGATGGCAGCGAAACATCTGTGTAAGCTCGATGCGAGCCCCACGGTGAAGCACACCATCAACGGCGATGCTATGGAGCGTTTCGTAGGTCGTGCGGCGATGGGCGAAGCTCAACTTCTTGCGCACGTCCGCGAGGTCCCGGACGGCGACTGAAGCATCATCGGTTCGCCGTGGTGAACGAGGATGTATGTTGTGGTGATATGTGTGTGCAGGATGTGCTGCGTAGCCAATAAATTGTGTAATGAAGTTCTGGCGGGTCGTTTTGTAATAGCTGACCATGATCCAGAAGTTTTGCCGTGCAATACCTCAACAACCAAAATGGCTGGAAAGTGCTACAAGTATAAACTACCCAATCAAAGCAGAGATCTTGCGCGTTGCAGAACGCCAATCAGACACTCAATCGGAGTATTTTAAGAAAAATGCCGCCAATCAAAAGTACAACATGACAAATTTTGTGGAACAGAGTGGTATACCCCGGGGGTAGGTAGTATGGTGCAAGTCATCCAAAAACTACAAAAAAATGCCTTGTCTTTCGACAGCTTTTCCAACTTTGTTTTGATATTTTTTAGGAAAATAAGCTGTATTTACGATAGAACGGCACAAGAGATTTTCGATTGGTGAAAAATTGATTCGAGTAATAGAATTTAAACCAACCGGCCTTTTTGTACGGAAATATATGGAGTCACCCTGGCTCCCTGGCTCAGCCAGGCCGAAAAGGAGCATCAAGTATATCTGGTCTTTGTAAACAGCACTTGTCCATACGAACGTTTCCATTGTATCCGGATTATTCAGAATGTTTAACCAAATTCTTACCAGGTAAAAAACAAACTAATAGAGATTTAACGTCAACATTGCGTGGGTTTAACATGAAAGAACCGAGGCGTTTAATAATAAAACGTCGTCTCCTCCTGAGGATGACCGATCTATACTGTATGTAGTCAGTCTTCACCATACCAGGTGTATTCTGCTCCTAGCGAACTATTATACTTGGTAAACAAGTATTAATAGTAAGTTAGGGGCGTAAGTTGACCTGGGACATCTGTCCAAGAATAGATGCATATGTACGATAATACAGTAGACATCGCAAGATGTCTCTTCTCGTTAACTACACGAAGGTCAGGTTGAAGATCAGTACCCATTGACAAGCATGTCGTCCAAAGGAGGTGCCTCCATGTACGAGAATGCCGACAAAACTCCCCCTCGGCGTCAGTACTTTCGCGAGAAGCAACGCGAGTATCGCCGCAATATGATTGCTGACATGGCCGCTTTGAAAGCACAGTGCGTGCACCTTCAGTCGGTTCTTGTCCGACTTCAAACAGCCAGGTCGCCGTCCGTGGTGCCGCGAGAAGCAAGCGATGGTCCGTTGTCCTGGCATTCCATTGCTATAGTGTTCAAAAGAGAAGCCCATCGTGTCTTGACGGACCGCCAGTCACTTGGCACTCAAACGCAAGAGTTACAATCCCTCACGAAGGCCATGCAACGCTTTGTCGTGACGAACATTCAGGTGTGTGCGTTTTCACATTTCCATAGAGGCAGGCGAGTGAGATCGTTGCGTATGTGTATGTAGCCGCCCATGTCCCGCAGCAATGCGTGGCAGAATGCGACATTGGCGGCAGACCCGAGTGCTCGAAACCTGGGCAAGGAGTGGCTCACGCAGCAAATGTACCACAACATGCACGAGCCGTTCGCGTTGTTTCCTGCCGCGAGATTGGATGAGGATTTGTTCCATATCGACGTGCAAATGTCGGACGACGGCGAGCCGATTATGGGCGTGGAAAGGGTGCAGTTCCTCTTGCCAGGCACGGTGCAAATGTTTCGACGCCTGATCGAGTGCAACATGTGGCAGGCGAAGTTGTACAATTCCGTCCAAACGGCAAGTACTGACAGTTAGTCGGACGAATGGAGGGTCAACCTGACCTTTGTGTTTGGTTAGGTGGTGGAAGAGATCACAGCCAACACGCGCCTGTTTCACAAGACCACGCCCAAAGGCATGTTCGTGAACAGGCTCCAAGGCCACTTCGTCGAAGCCAACCGGTTCGTCATGGTCACTCGGGGAGTCGATGAGGACGAAGCTTACGTGTGTGACCCCCAGTACAATCAGCAGCACTACATGTCGTGGTGTGTATTTAGTTCGGGGGTTGTTCGGGACGAGGGCTTAGCTCTTTCGTTGCATGTAGGACCGAGGTGCGGCAGATATCGCCAACACACATCTTGCTGCGATTTGTCAGCCATGTGTCGCAGATATTTCAACCTGCCACCGGGTTTGTGAGTGTGGACGAGCAGGCGACGTTGAAGGGCGTCGATGTGATGGACGTCGACGACGGCCTCAAGGATGAGTACGTGCGACGCGAACTGATCCGACGGAGGCATGCGGAGCTCTTGCCTTGGCGACAACATTTAATGGAGAGGATGCACCAGAACGCGACAAACTAATCAAAATTCGTATTGTGCTTTCAAGCTAAATTTGGTATTTTCGACGAATGACGTCAAATGCACCTGAAATCGTCGAGACGTTATTTTACTTGAAATAAATATACTCGCTCTCTGTCCGATGCAATGTTGAACTCTTTGTGAAATGGAGAAGCTTGGCAATCCACCGAATGCACCCACCTGCAATTTGATTGGTCGAAAGGTCTAAAATTTCATTGGCTACTTCGGTCCGTCGATTACTGCGTCGATTCGATTGGCAGCCCCAGTCCATTTATTATATTTTGACAGTGAAATCGAATTACCATTGGGGTAATACGAGGCGTTTTTGGACGAAATACATTTTAGGGTGCGTTTGGTAACATGGAGGTAATAAATA